TAAGACGAGTGTTTTTATAGTCATAATAAGTTATTTGTTAGAATGTTGTGATGTACGTGAATTGAAATAGAGTTTTAAGACTATTTTTCTTATCCTCCCCTGATTTGACTGTTAGTAATAATATCTTCGATATTTCTGGTATTTGCACTGACTCATTTCTGCTGCATGTGTTGGGTGTAGACTCAATGAATCAGTTAGGATTCAGTAATCAATCTCTCTCTTCACCTACCTAGATTACTTTTTAGAATTTCAACCCTCTCCCACCATGCTATTATGTGGTTGTGTGTTAACGCATGCAATGCAATTACTGAGCTTTTTTCTAAATTACTCATCTTCTCGGGGTCAACCATTCTTATGTTCCGACAATCTGATTACCCCCGATCTACTAGTTTGGCATATATAGTTGACCTCACAGTCATTGTAAGGTATTTTGTAAATTATATTATTTTGCTTAATTGGGTCCACCGGGTCTTTTAGCCTACAGAGCTTATCTCTGAGTGAGTTTCTAGGTTTGAATGCCACCCTAATTCCTGTTTTATTAAGAATCCTACGTAGGGTCTCTGATGTCCCCTCATATTATTACCACCAGTCAGTCGAATCAGAAGAGGATAATAAATAATCTTAAAATTCTATTTCAATTCAAGCACATCACAACATTCTAACAAATAACTTATTATGACTATAAAAACACTCGTCTTATTTCCTATCTGATTGTATTTGATTGATAACACTAGCATTATTTCTGAATGTACATTATCCTATATTGATTTCTATTCCGACATCTAATCGATTCCACACATGTATATAAATGAAGGAAAAAAGTTGTGTGGGTAACTTGATATGATTATGAGTGGCAATAGTTTGTGCTCGAAACGTGGTCGCATCAGTTAATATAACTGTACAACACTGTGATTTATCAAAATAAAATCTTATCCATTACGGAGTTATACTCTACTTCAGTGCCCAAGTTTACACTTATATTATTTGGTCTTATTATTTCTCTAACGTCCTAATGGGTGCTTTCGACAACTGGATCCCATGTTAACAGATTTTTTCTGGGTAAACTAGAGGATAGTCCTATAAACAACCTAATCACAAAATTATCATTTTATTGCTGTTATATGCATGACATCTTCATCCTTTGTGAAAATGATTTGGACAGGAACGTAATACTATCTCAATTCAATGATGTACATTCATCTGTCAAATTGACATGTGAGGAAAAATACCAAAGTAAAATTGCATTTCTAAACGTTCTAACGACAAGAAGACCAGACAGACTTGCATTAGGAAAAGTGCTTGGACTGATCAACATGTACATTTTAACAGCTTGGTTCCTCTCCAGTATAAAAGAAATTTGGTAAAGATTGTCAACTATAGGGTCAGAGCTATTTATTGAGAAAATGCAATTAAAAAGCGAACTTAATACTGTACATGACATGGTAAATGGAAGCAGCTACTCTGAAATGTTCCTCAGTAAACATATGGCCAGTAGAGTAGAAAAGAATTCTTCTGTATCTGTTAACAAGAAGCCTCTGTATATATGACTACAATTCAAAGGTGATATATAATAAGTGAAACAATAACCAATTAATTTATCGAAAGCCTACTTGGAAAGGACAAACCTACATTTTAATAGTTTTTGTGTAACTAGCTTTAAACTTGGACTAGTCAAGACTCTACACTATAGAGAAATTAGAGGAAGAATTTATGTTTTTCGAAAAGATGCTGAAAAGCAACGGTTACCCTTGAAGAGTCATTAAAAAGTATGGAAGATCTGAAGTCTCAAATGTCAAACAAATCACAGTGGAGAAACAGCCCATCTACATTCAACTTGATATAAGAATAGGACTTGTGCACTGTGGTAGAGTATAATTCCATTATGGGTTAAAATTTATTTTGACAAATCAAGGTGACCTTGATATGATTATGAGCAATAAATTGTGCTCAAAACGTGGTCATTAGTAAATATTACTGTACAACACTGTGTAATTTATCAAAATAAATTTCACCCATAATGGAATTACATTCAATTTGATTAAAAAGTTGAAAACATTGCAGCAGTGGTCACCAGAAGACTGAGTACGTCACTAGCCAGAGCCTATCCTGCAGCTAAGCTCGTTCCTGTCTTTCGAACAACTTGCTCTTTGGTGTAATCAAAATTTGATAGGTGTCCTTCTCATGTTAACTCCTACTGTATATACAAATTTACATGTATCTGCGGGAGCAGTTACATTGGAAGGACAGAAAGAAGGTCATATCTAAGATTTTCTGAACATGTACCAAAAAGCTTATGTCTAAAGGAAAAAAATGCTTTAAACAGTACCATCGCCAGGCATCTCCTTGACACGGGTCATGAGGTGGACGTCACATGATCGTTCAAAATTATCAATAGGCAAAAGAGTTCAATTCTCCTTAAGTTTGTTGAAGCCATCTCCATCAAGCGCCTGAAACCTGATTTATGCGTTCAGAAAGAAGCAGTTGTCAGTCTTTCTTTGCCTTGGTAACTGGATATTTTCACCTCTCTTTCATCTGATTACGTAATGTTGAAAGTTTCCATTGTGTATGATCATTACTGTTCGGAATAGTGTTTAATATTATTATATTCATTATACTCTATGTATATATTGATTGGTTTTTGTTTATAATTGAACTCTATGCAAGTATGTTAAAATTGTTTCTGTAGATATACTTAACAATGACTTTGGCCTGTAGGCAGCTGATGACAAACCAACCATTTTAGATATAATAGAGAAGATTTGTAGCTCAGGTGGATGATTTTGGTGTGGTTGTGTTCTCTGAGCTGGATGGTTTGGTTGCGAAGCTTTCATTGCTCTACTGAGCAACATCTTCAGCGCATACTTCGATGTGAAGTATGCGCTGAAGATGTTGCTCAGTAGAGCAATGAAAGCTTCGCAACCAAACCATCCAGCTCAGAGAACACAACCACACCAAAATACCATTTTATTCTGCAAAAATCGCTGTTGTTCTTGCTTTATTCAAATAACCAATAAGTTGAGAAAATCGATTCAAACAACGTTAAACGCCAGTAAGCTGAAGCCCATATTTTCCACAAACAACCGGTTGTGATTCTGAAACGGAAAGACTAAGTAACCAGACTAGCCACCTCTAATTGTATCCATCAATCCAACTAACCCTGTAAAGCAAGTTATATTAGCCTTTGCTGGGGAACACCACACCTACCAATGTGGATAAATAAAGGTGTTGCTAAAACTGTCGACAGTTCTATATTGGACCACCTCTTTCTCTATCACCTATCGGGTATCGAATAAATTATCAAAGGCCTCTAAATACTGAATACGCCAAATAGCAGTGGTCATTGAAATTCGGAGCTCTGAGTGAAAAAGAAATAGATCCAGTCAGTCACTATTGCTACTCTGACTTGCTGTAAAACCTATAAATTCTGTATTACTCCCCTCAATTTACTGTTATATGAATGCATATTGTGGCGGTGTGATACAGACAATGTGTTCCAAAGGATTGTTATTCTCACAAATTTGCACGCTTCAATTCTGCATTAGCAACAGAATAATATATGTATTTGAAAATTCTATTTCATGTCACTTCAAAATATACCTTTGCTTCCGTGTATTCCCTTCCGTTGTTACAATATTACCTCTCCCTCTCACTAATGCTTTTGTAATAGAATCTATCGATTCTATTGATTCAGTGTAATTTAAAACAGCATTAATGTTGTTAATAAGGTTATTTCTATAATTATTATTACTGTCATATAAATATAGAACCTCATGAAGAAGAGATTGTCGAAAAGAATATTCTTCGTTTATTAATCAGTCTTCTAAATTTCAAATGCTCAATCTTCAATCAATTTTCTTGAAATCACAAGGTAACTAACACCGATTTCAAACTTTCTAGTCAGTATTCACTTTCATTCCAGCTGATTAGTGGTAATACGTCGAAATAGGACCGTAGGAAAATGTGTTTTGAATCAGAGAAAAACGGTGTGAGTCCTAATACCACCACAGATACATTTCACTAAGATGTGTTGAGAGCTGTCTCATAGCCAAAATTGTAAACAACAATTTACGTCAATCTTTACGTCCTGAATCGGGTTCATGAGAAAAAAACAGCAACGAAGCATAACCTAGAGGAACTCACCAACCAATCACAAGAGACTTAACAGGTGCTAATACGATTCGCAGATATGTGGCTTAGCTTTCTAAGAAACAGTCACAAGCACTACAGAATAACCTTCAGCAAGAAAACAACCAATCAGAAGACGCTGCTTCTCCGCTGAAAATAATGTACATAAACATCTATAAATATCTCTTGATTTTCTCAATAAACGATCTATTGCCTTGATATGATTATGAGCAATGAATTGTGCTTGAACGTATCAGTAAATATTACTGTATAACACTGTGAGACTCTGTCAAAATAAAAATCATAATATCTATTGCCTAGCCCTTGTCTTCTGTCGTTACACTAATACCTCCACAGATACATTTCACTAAGGAAGTAACTGTAGACATGGAATCACTGTCAAATAACACTACAGTGCCATCGTATATTGCAAAGCTATTAAATCTAATGGTTAGCTTGTTAAAAAATATTCTGATCACCACTCAATGACTGATCCGTTTGTCATTGTTGAAATAAATCAAAGAAAAAAACTCTATTTATTAACTGAAGATATGAATTTATATATTACAAAAAGTTGTATTTTAACAATTTAATCTGCATATCCATACAACTATGCATAGATTTATAGTATTTTTCACTCATCAACTGCACTCGCTGTTAACTACACTACTTATAAGTCTTTTTGATGTACTACTAAGTAGTATCAATTGAATGAGATAAAAAAACTTAATGATCACAGTTTGTATGTTTGTGTGTGTGAAGAAAGGATGAGACTGTTCTTTACAGAAACAGAGAAGTGAAGAAACGAGTAATACTCAAGTTAAACAGGAATTGTCATAGCACACTGTACTCACAAAAAAAAGGAAGAGAAAGAAGGGGAGACAATATCCCGAAAACTGATCCGTATTTAAAAAATGGATTCATAGCTTTTTTTCAAGTGAAAATGGGGTGGTTAATTCACCATATATATATATATATACTGATCATTTATGAAGAGGACAGGTATAATGCGTAAGTTGTAATTTTAAAATGTACGATGTGATAGTTTATCACTGTTCACTAACAACTCATAATTCATTTCATAAATATTTTGTAAATTGACCGTGATCGGTGGCGGCGTAGACAGTACACTACGATCGTTTAGTAGTAAAGTGAACGATGACGAGGAGGTGGAGGACGGTGGTGAGGATGACGAGGACAGTCTCTCTTGCTCTCTACTGTATACTTCAGGCTTTAGTGTTTCATCATCAGGTAGGCAGGTAAACTCTTTTTGATCTAACCAAATATCATTTCTGCCAGAAGATGGTGTTGGTAACAAGGAATGTTGTCCCGCGTCGTATGGATCACTTGAAAAATTATACACTTGATTTGTAAAGTATTGGTGATGATTACTTTGAAAATCTGTTGTTGTTGTTGTCGTTTGATTTTCTTGTTGCCCTGTGAAATTTTCAAGCCAATTGCAATTGTGCATTAAAGATTCATTAGTGTAGGACAGGAAATCTGTTTCCAATGCATTCTGTTCTGTTCTATGACAGCTGGGATCGTTATCATTTTCTATCGGGATGTGATTGTTTTGATCCGTAGATGAACTGATTACCAAGAAATCTGGATCACCGCAATGATTATTATTATCATTATTATTAGACATTTCATATGGCATAATGCCGTTCTCATTACTGATATTTTTCTGTACGCTATCTGAATTATTCGACACAGTATTGTCGTACCCATGTATATAAGATGAATCCACATAATAGTAATTATTATTATTATTATTACTATTATCGATATGGCCATTAGTAGTAGTATTAGTATTAGTATTATGAAGAGCTGAGTTCATACACTTCGTCTTGTTCACCTCCGTGAAATCTGTATATCTACGCTTCACAGGAAATTTCCCTTCATAATTAAGTTTATCATCATTGCTGTTACCTTTAAGTAGTTGCCTGTTACAATAATCTGAAAGAGTAGGGTAGTAGTAATAATAAGCCTTAGTAGATGTATTCATCACTATTTGACTGTTCATCAAGTGATTTTCTACCGGTTTTATAACCTGATTGTGTAATTTACTTTCTGTATTGATTTTTGTTGTTGTTGGCGTTGTTGTTGTTGTTGGCGTTGTTCTTGTTGATGTTGTCGGCAATGTACTACTGACTACCATCAACTGATTTGATTGTTCTTCACCAGGAAAAGCCAAGGAAAATAGCAATTCTGGTTCATAAACAAATCGATAGACGTATCTTTCACCAGAGACTTTTTGCATAATACCTTTTTCATAATAGTAGCGTAATGATCGACTCAGTTTGTCGTAGTTCATAGCTGGACGATTCTTTTGTATACCCCATAAACGAGCAACCTAATTAGGAGAAAAAAATACATATATATAATATTGTAGAATTAATCTTATGTGATATAAGGAAGTGAAATTTTTGCTATAAAATTAAATTGAGTTTGACCACGGAGTGATATCAATGGACAGATATTTCGTACTAGTTTGGGACTCATCATCAGCGCGCCCTACAAGGTAACTCTTGAAAGTGAATGTGATGCTCGCTAGTGGCTAGCTACAGGACGAAGTTGCCTAGAGTTCTAGTGAGAAATCGTGACCAGTGGGACCCTTCAGGTCAGAAGGGAGGACAAATACGCACCAACAACATTGGCTGCCGGTTGCGCGATATGTCGAGAGACGGTAGAAGTTGGAATTCAGGAGCCAGTGTATTAAGCCCCAGTAGCTGAATGGACTAGACCTCGACTTGTATCCCGAAGGTCATGGGTTCAAACCCCAGTGGGTGCGTACGCGTGATGAGTCCCACTCTGGGGCGAAACAGCTTCCAGTACTCCTGGGTGGTTTTCCAATGGTTCTCCAACTTATGTTAGCTCATAATCAGACGTGAAACGAATCATCAAATCCCTACAAAATAAATAAACCTTGAAGGAATTTATGTCCCTTCTGAGATTTGAACCCGCATCACCCAGTGCTGCTGTCAGAAACGTTACCACTCAGCTGATCGGGGCCGCAACTGATCTCCAGTAGAACTGTAATATCATCTATTTACCCTTTCGTTCAGTACAGACTCAATTCTATCAGTCAAGTTTGCAATGTGGCCAGTATGCTAGGTGGCTTGCCATCACAGTGCACTCGGAATTGTCGTTAGCATCCATTATGGATCTACAGGAGGTCGATCGCGAGCCCAAATAGCTCAAAGGTATCATCTCTTACCGCAGCACTGGGTGACTTAGGTTCGAATCTCAGAAGGGAGATGAGTTCCTTCAAGATTGCAGATACTCCATGTTGAGTGCCAATAAGCAAGAAACCTACTTTCTTGACTTCCTGCTGATCTCCTGGTCACATTTCAAACTTGAACGACAGAATTCAGTCTGTACTAAACGAAGGAGTAGACATATGACATTAGTTACTACTCTTCGAATTATTCAGAACTGTTTCGATAATTCTTCGCATTCAACTTCTAAATCAGTTAATCCAGTATGTTGTCAAACAAATAAATGCATGTAGTTTTATTGTGATTTTAAATATAGACACATTAAGAACATCAGTTTATTTGTCTCTATCGTAATGCAAATCGTATTTCTATGTACTATCCATCCGGTGAAAATATCACCTTCCTACCCCGTCTTTTATATTGTTATTATTATTCTCTTGGGTTCCGAGTGGAACATAGGGCTTCAACAACACGTTTCCATTTCATCCTATTCCCTGCAGTTCTCTTCAACTAGCCCCCTCGTCTCGCCCTCACACGATCTCCTACATATCAACCTCATTATTCAATCTAGTGCTACTCGAGCGATGGACTGGTGCGTGATGTCACTCAGCGATCTCCTCAACATGTGCCCGATCCACTTTCATTTCCTTCGGAATATTTGGTGGACGATAGGCTCATGACTGGTTCATTCACAGAGTTCCTTGTTGATAATTCTTTCTGGGCAGCCAACCAACTTATCTTCAGTATGGAGCCAGCGAACTGGCCAGCTATTAATAAAAGTATGAAGCAGCCTGCTGAAAATGTTTTCCGTGACGTATGTGTCAAGTTTCAGGCTCATATAGAAGCAATGACTGATTTAACATTGGTGATGAAAATCCGAAGCTTGTTCTTTATGCTGAAAGAGGAGTGCAGCAGATTCTCAAATTGATCTCAGAATGATGAAGGGCTGACATGCCTTTCTGATTCTTGTTTTGACATCCTTGTCTGTGATGACCACCTTTAGTTGAAACGATGCTGCCGGTCAGATAAGTGAAGGAAGTGGCCTCTTTCAAATTTCTCTTCCTGATAGTAATTGGTGCTTATTGATGGTTGTGATGGTTGGTCGGTTAGTTATCTTTATCACCTCCGTGTTCTCTATGTTCACTTGAAATCCTGTCTTTACTGCTTCTTCCTCCAATTTGTTGGTTTTCATCTGTAAGTCTCTGAATTTATGTAACATTACATTTGAATCATCTGTGAAGTCCATATCATCTAGAATCTTCTTATCCCTTCAAGCTTATTCCTGTCTTCATATTATCTTGCTCTTTAAATATCTTTTAAAAATGTGTAATTTCAGATAGGTTTTCGTAAGTCAGTCCATTACCGGTCAGAATGTGAACATTTCCTCCATGGATTGTGGTGCAATTATTCACATTTTTCACCTCCTCCCTAGTCGGTGGCATAGTGGTTAGGACTCTCACCGACCATACACATGGTCCGAGGTTCGATCCCCTTCCGACTCACACCTGATATCAGCGGTTGGCCTGCAAAATTTGGGCTACCGATATCACATGCTGAAAATTCCATGCTTGTACCAAAAATACGGTGTGGAATCAAGCTATAATCAAAAAAAAATCAGTAGTGATTCTTTGGCTAATGTCACCCCCTGACACCACTTACATTGAAATTATTTCCATTTAAAATCTATTACTAATGTACGCAAGTGTGCAGTTTTAAAAATCATACAGATTATACGATCTTTCAAATACCCACGTACATGCACTGTTTTTAATTAGTATCATTAAAAGTGCAGCTAAATGACTCTACATAATGAATACCAGCAAACAAACTTCATCGGAGGCATCAATAATAAGAAATTTGACAATAAAAAGCAGAAAGAATCGCTTTTTTTTAAAAAAAAATGTAGGTCAGTACAAACCTCTGAAGTACAGCTACGTTTACTTTTGTATAGAAGTGTGTAGCATAAATGCTTTTTCCAGGGTAGAAAAAAACCAAACGCCAAGCTTTATTCCCAGTAGAAAAGGAGATCAAATAAAATTGAAGATTTGGCAATTTTCTCATTCAGAGCATGTTTCAGCATGAAACGCACTTTTTCTTTTTGAAATAATTCTTATTATTTTGGATAATATTAAATTACTGCCATGTGTATCATATTAATGATAGTAGCAGTAATAGATTAATGATTCATTGTGCAATTAAGTGGCATGAATCTGTCCAGGCGTCACGGATAAGGATGTCAAAACCAGCCAGAATCTAGTAGACATAACAGACATTCACCAATAGGGTGAAATCATTTTGGAAATCTCCTGCACTCAGTCAGCACAGGAACGAAATTCGGATTTTCAGCACCAATTCTTGGTCAGAAATCAGGCGCACGCGTCACGAACAGCATTTCATACAGGCCACTACAGACTTTATCAACATCTTCCCACTTCTCTGGCTCAATACTCAAGATCAGACGGCTGGCCAGCCAAAATTCACATTTAGGAACGAAACAACCAAGAACGTGCTGCTCAACAAATATTCAGGAGAAAATGGAGGTGGATCAGACACACGTTAGATGACATCGTATACCAGGCCACCTCTAGGATGGAATCCGAATGGAGAACGACGAGTTTGACGAGTGTCCGAAGGCTACTGGGAGGAGATCGTGTGATTTGGAGGACATGAAAGCTTGTGAGAGGTCGTGGGACCAGCTAAAGAGGAAGAAGTGGAGATATTCTGTAGGAGCTGTATGTTCCAAATGGAACCCAAGAGAATAACAATAAGATGATAAATTAGCCACAATCTGACAGGACATACGTTTTCATTGATACATAGCACTCTATACTTCAAACAGAATTTACTCAATGTGCATTTTTAGGACTTCTAATTATCTTTGAAGTCACATGGCAAGATATACTAAGGGAATTATTGCTTCCAAACTAGTTTGAACTGTAAATCTGTGACCACTTACCTTTCCATGAACTAGGATATTAACCCTAACATTTATATGAGGATTATTAAAAGTACAAACTGCTCACCCCTTAGTGGTAAAGTGAAGTTTGATTAATTTTCACATCCTTCAGACCAATTAGTAATATGTCAGCCGTTTAACTAGACACTAGGTGGTTCTAATTCACTTAAAATTCTATCAGTATGAACTATGAAATCAAGCTCCGTATTTAAAAGGTTCTAAGCAATACACACACACGACAGTCTGCTGCGGTTATCCAGCATGAAGAATTGACTAGTAGAAAGTGGGCTTGGTTCTGTTTAGGTCATATAAGCACAGATTATGTGTTCAACCTCCACGTGTATGGAAATGATGGAGATCATCCTTCAGTGAGTCACATATTGTTTTAAGACATTCACTGTAGTGGCCTGGACCTGCTTTTCAACTGGAAACTGTTCGGTAGCCCTGAGGATAGTTGTTTAGTCGCGGTTTGACCATGAAATGCAGCCATAAGTTGAAGAATGTGTTTTGTTACAGGATTTTCATCATGAGCTGACATTAGTTAGAGAACCATTGGAAATCCTGAAGGGAGTACTGGACAGCTGTTTCCTCCGTCCTAGTTGGGGACTCTACAGCAGTACGCACCCACCGGGATTCAAACCCAGGACCTTCTGGTTACAAGGCTAGCGAGCTCGTAGACCATTAAGCCACTGGGACCCGATCCAGTGGCCAGTTCATGAATTCTAACTTCTGCCAATTCACGATATAGCGCAACCGCTAGCCAATGTCTTCGGCGAGTATTCGTCCTTGCACCTGACCTTCTGCACCCTACTGCTTTGGTTGGGAATCTACTGATGCACCACGATTCCCTAAGTCGAATCCGAGTGCTCAGGAGACTTAGAGGCTAGAAACTTTGTCAGACTGATGTAGAACTAAAATCCATTGCAAACATGTTGCACATGAATACTTTCTTCTCTTTCTCAAGGTGACCATTCGAAGTAGAGCAAGTTTATTCGAATACACTTGATAAATATGACTACCCGTCAAAATTCTGATGTTTCTTGGTTGTCGTGTTCTTCTTTTCCTTATACTGTTGTTCTAGTATTTCTGTGTGATGCAACTCTTCGTGCCTACACTCTACCAAGTCTGTATTTTAAAAAGAAATCGTAAAATAACTATTGATCTATGAACACAGAAGTGGGTGGAGGATTTGAAATTTATGCTTCCAGTTCTTTTTATCCCAGTGGCTTCCCTCTAACTGGTGTATTAACGTTTTGGATATTCAGATAAAGTTGTGAAAGGAATTCAATAGGTATTTTTAATTTTCAAACAAGGAGCACTGGACAGCTGTTTCGTGTAATTTTGAACTCATCTCCATTACGCACCCAACGATGGTAGAACCCAGAACCTCCCAGTTCCAAGCAAAGCTCGCCGACCATTTAGCCACTGGGACCCGATTCAATGGCCTACGAATTCTAACTTCTACCAGTTCCTGAAGTTTTAGCTCGACCATCAGCTAAAGTTGTTGGCGAGTATTTATCCTCACACCCGACCTCGTGGAACTTATTGAGTTCGAACCCCAGTGAGTGCGTACGCCCAAACTAAGGCGAAAAAGATGTTCAGTACACCCTGCTGGTTTTCATTAGTTCTCTAACTGATATCAATCCGTGGTGGAACCTGGAACATACTTCTAAGTATTTCATTCCTTCTCATTTCGAGTGGAACATGGGGCTGCAAACAAGAGCTTTATAATTTCAGTAGCAGTGGTGGGTTTGCTAACTTCACGCCCTCTTTACCGGGCTTACCACCGGTTAAGAAAGATTTTAGGAGTGCATCTGCCGGGAATCGAACCCGAACCACGTGAAACGTGGTTAGCGAGCACACTACCATGGCAGCACTGACATACATTTTTAAGTACTGACAAATATGAATCCTAATGAAAGCTAACACATTCACTTCTGTAATTCTACCTCTTATCAGTTTGCAAAGACATATAATGAAATGTTTTTGAAAAAAATACACTGCATGAGTTGTACATGACATATTTTGTTATTAGTATCTTACCTCTTCAGGATCATTTAGCTTAAATTCCAATGTTCTACCTGTCCAGCATATTAAATGTTGACTTTCTTTATCATCCAATAATGCAATCAAAAATTGCCATAACTGCAGGGAACCTCTATGATGTAGATTAGCTAAGGCAGCAGATGCAGCCGCCATTATAGCTCCATTATTGTTACCTTCAATATTCCTGCAATGATTCTCTAATACTGATGAGGATGTTTCCGATAAATTACTGTCGGACATCTTCGTTTGAAATGATTTTGATAGCTTTTGTCTACACAGTCGAATATCATTATGTCTGTTAGAGAATGACATTGATGTTGCTGACGTAGTAGTGGAAGAAGGAAATGAAGATCCTGTACCAGGTTCATTAGGATTTGATAACTGGATTTCGTGATCATTTAGAGAGTGATCTTTGTGAGTTTTTGATATTATCTCATTGCCTGACAGTGTTACTTGATTCTCTGGTATCCATTCATAAGGTGTTGCCTTATATGAATTATTTGTATTAGAATTACATGATAAGTAGTAGGAAATATCAAACTGACTCGACTCTGTCTCATCTAGATTTTCGTAAAAAAAATTTGAAGAAGAAACAGTGAAATAAAATATAAGTATGCTCTATGTGAATTTTCGTCAGATTCTGACTAAAGATTTATACTAATGCTTGATGTTAAGTGTCTGGGTGCGTACTGATGAAGAGTCCCAAACTAGGACGAAACAGATGTTCAGTACTCCTAGCTGGTTTTCCAATGGTTCTCTAACCGTTGTCAGCTCATGATGAAATCCTGTAACTAATCAATCAAATCCCTACAAAGCAATACTTGAAAATTGATCTGATGCTTACTAGCGACTGGCTCTATTCAGGTAGGTAGTTACCTGGGGTTCTACTGGGAAGCCGCGACCAGTAGGGTACAGCAGGTTGAAGGTGAGGACAGTTACTCATCGAAGAAGACATTGCGAAGTGGTCGCGCTATGTCATGAATTGTCAGAAGTTGGAATTCATCGGTTGGCCATTGAATCGGGTCCCAGTGGCTTAATGGTCTACGAGCTTGCTAGCCTTGTAACCACCAGGAGGTCCTGGGTTCGAACCCTGGTGGTAGGTGTGTACCGATGAAGAGTCCCAAACTAGGCTGAGGAAACAGCTGTCCAGTACTCCTAACTGGTTTTCCAATGGTTCTCTAACTGATGTCAGCTCATGATGAAATCCTGCATCCAATAAATGGCATTTATATGCATTTCAAATATTCTAAGATATGTACAAATGTAATTTATTTGAAGTAAGGAAATATGATTAGCGAAAACCTTTGAAGTAAAGATGGGAGTAAGACAAGGCCATATACTGTCATTGATGATATTCCTAATTGTGGTGGACTGGATCATGGGGAACGCCGTGAGTGGGGAGCGAGAAGACAGGAACACGTTGGACTGATAAGAAGCCTCTAGAATATCTGGATTTCGTGGAGGATTCATGTTTAATGTCGCATAAATTCGAAGACTTACAGGTGAAAGGCAAAAAGTTGGATAAAGAGGCTGGCAGAGAAGATAGGACTTCAAGTGAACTCAGAGAAGATGGAGGCGATAAAGATAACCAACCAACAACAATAATTATCAATCACTATCAGCGACAGAAATTTGAAAAAGGTCACTTCCTTCACTTATCTAGGCAGAATCGTTTCAACTGCAGGTATTTGGCACAGATGGGGATGTCAAAATCGAAATTGGAAAAGCATATCAGACCTTCATCATTCTGATATCAGTCTGGAAATTCGCTGCACACAGTCAACACAAATAACAAAATTCAGATTTTCAACACCAATTTTAATTCATTCAGTCCGTCTATGTGGGTTAGACACTGCCCCACGAGTGTCACTGAAGGAATTTCTAACAGGCCACTTCAAACTTTTATCAACAGCTTCCCACTTCACTCTTTCCATACTCAAGATCAGTTGGCCAGGTAGAAAGAATTATCAAGAAGAAATCCTGTCAACGAACCAACCAAAATGGATACAGGATTTTCATCATGAGCTGATATTAATTAGAGAACCATTGGAAAACCTGGGAGTACCGGATGGCTGTTTCGTCCTAGTTTGGGACTCTTCATCAGTACGCACCCATCGGGATTCGAACCCAGGACCTTCTGGTTTACAAGGCGAGCTCGTATACCACTAAGCCACCGAGAAGTCGTGACCAGTAGGGTGCAGCAGGTCGGGTGTGAGGACAAATACTCGCCAAAGACATTGGTTAGCAGTTGCGCTATATCGTGAATTGGCAGAAGTTAGAATTCACGAACTGGCCATTGGATCGGGTCCCAGTGGCTTAATGGTCTACGAGCCAGCTCGCCTTGTAAACCAGAAGGTCCTGGGTTCTAACCCTGGCGGTGGATGCGTACTGATGAAGAGTCCCAAACTAGGACTGAGGAAACAGCTGTCCAGTACTCCCAGCTGGTTTTCCAATGGTTCTCTAACTAATGTCAGCTCATGATGAAAATCCTGTAACCAATCAAATCCCTACAAGCCAACACTTGAACAAAATGGATACAAATTTGACACATGTTGAAGAGGCCGTTGGATGATATCCGCGCCTGGCCATCTCTCCATTGACACCCCAGTGGGAAACGGAGGCTTGCAGAAGATCATGCGAGAAGGACATGAGAGCCTATAGGAATCTTATGACCAGCTAAAGGGGAATGCAGAGAACATGGTGAAATGGAAATGTTTTATTGAAGTCCTATATTCCACTGGTAACCAAAGGGAATAATAATGACCACATTACTGGGAAGTTAAAGGATAGAACATATCATTTGCTCATTCCTTTTAACCAAATTAGTGAATGTGACTGTTCTCCTCTTTTTTATCAATCCCCAGTAGAGTCACAAGCGCACATTGCTGAAGATTCCCTAGCCAAGAAACAACAACTGCTAATCACCTCCTGGTTTCCATTGCTACTCTAACTGATGTTCCCGTTCGTGACGAAATATACTTCGAAGTCAGTAATCTCCCCACAACCTAGAGACTTGAAAATCATTTTTGAAAAGTTGACTTGTTAAATAAAATGTTTGAATAGTTTAGAATCTAGGCTAAGCAAAATACTTGTATCAGCTCGTTGGAAGGACTTTGAAAGGTTGAAGTGTGTCGTTTTACAATCATCCAGTGTTTCTTGCATCCATGCAAACAATTTACTTCACAGTTGAGCTTGGCAGCGACAAAGATAAATCTTACTTTTGATTCATTTAAAGTGATATACGCCATAATTATTTCGCCAGATGCTTATAGGACATCAGATATGTAGTAAGCGTTGAAGAGGCTTCACAAGAATTTAAATCATAAACCATATATAAGTGTGCCTGTTACGTAAACTGACACATGTCGTTCATATGCTCATAGAACTGAGAAGGTGAATAATCCCATACTGGAAAAGTGACATTCAGTGAACGGCACACTCCACCCTAAGAATGTAAACTGACCCTATACGGAAAGCACCTGGGATTCTAGTGAGAAGTCGTAACCAGCCTGACCCACCAAGTCAGGCAAGAGGACGGTTACTCTCCCATGATATTGTTTGAAGGTTGCACTGAATGCATATCACAAATTGGCAGAAGTTGCAATTCATGAACTATTTGGTTCGGGTCCCAGTGGCTGCTTAATGGTCTACGAGCGCCGCTCGTAACCAGAAGGTCTTGAATTCAAACCCCGGCACAGATGAAGAGTCCCAAACTAGGACGAAACAACTGTCCACTACACCCAGGTGTCCCAATAGTTCTGTAACTGATATCAGCTAGCGACCAATCCTGTAACTAATTCCTAAGTGTTAGATTGTTAAGATCTGACTGATTCCAAGACAGACTGTCGTCTCTTGTGGAATCATAAGTGCTTATTGTTGAAAAGCAGCAAACTGTGATGAAACAAACGAACCTATACCTCCTGATATTTATTGGTTCTCTAACTGATGTCCATCCACAGTGTGAAGTCTACTTCCTAAATTACTAAAATTCAATTTTAAAAATCATCAAAACAATTAACTAGTAGATGTTAGCAATAAAATATTTGAGTTTTGAAGGAAGGGTGAAAATAATTAATTGCGGGTTCGAATAAAGCTATCTATACACAGCTCAATACCAGCTCATCTCGTCAATATTGGACATCAAATTGACTCTAACAAAGCCTCTAGAGTTACTGGTTTGATTTCATTCGACCTATCTCTTGCATGCTCTGAAAGTGTGACTTATATGTGTACAGCAAAGGTAATCAGAATTCATTTGAACAAACCAAATCCCTGAGTGTTCAAAAGGAATTCGTGCAGCCCCTTTCTTTGCAGTGGTCAACAACAGAATGGCTAGTAATTTTTACATGCGATTTTACTTCCTCCTCTTGTAACTATGTTTTAACTTTGTTATCTTATTATGAGTACAGTCCTAGCTAAATCAGTTAATTTGTTTGTATTTCGGTATCCTTACGTAATCCTACCGAGTCGTCATGTTCTTCTTAGCCATCACTATTTTACTAATTGCTTGATTATGTAATAAGTTGTTGTTAACCCCTAAGAATTAACTGACCTTGAGTTTCGCAGATTTCAAGAGTTAGTTTGAAGGGATTTGATCTGTTTCAAGTTTGGAGTACTGGACAACTGTTTCGCCCCAGTTTTGGACTCGTCGGCAGAACTCACTCACCTAGAGGGTTCCAACTCAGTAACTTCAGGTTACAGGGCAAGCTCGTAGATCGTTCAGCTACTAAGACCCGACTCAATGGCCCACGAATTCTAACTTCAACCAATTCCGTAATTATTTTCACCCTTCCCTCAAAAATTAGAATCTTGTTGTTAATCCTTGACACGGGTCATGAGGTGGACATCGCATGATCGTTCAAAATGATCAGTAGGTTAAAGAGTTCAATTCTCCTCAAGTTTACTGAAGCCATCTCCATCAAGCGCCTGAAACCTGATTTATGCGTTCAAAAAGAATCAGCTATCAGTCTTTCTTTGCCTTGGTAACTGGATATTTTCAACTCTCTTTCATCTGATTACGTAATGCCGAAAGTTCCCATTGTGTATGATCATTATTGTTCGGAATAGTGTTTCATATTATTATATGTTATTACTCCATGCATATACTAATTGATTTTTTTTAAATGAACTCTATGCAAGTATATTAAAATTGCTTCTTTAGATATACTTAATAATGACTTTGGTCTGTAAGCAGCTGATGAGAAGCCAACGAAATAAAAAATGATGGTACCATTTTATTCTGCAAAAACCACTGTTGTTCTTGCTTTATTCAAACTAATACCTACTAGTTAATTGTTTTGGTGACTTCTAATCTCCTATTCTTTTCACCCACTTTCCTATACCCAAGGCTGATAATTCTTATAGTCTAAAATAACCAAGCGAATAGTAGTTCAGTTTCAGTCTGTGTGTAAAATAATTCCAAAGTGTTTAACTCACCTTTTTGAAATGCGCTCGAATTCTGACTGTTCTCTTCAGGTATCATATATTCAGGATAACTAGGGACTTTCATTTCATTTGATAATTGTTGTGTCAAGTAGTCCTTTGTTCTCTTGCTGAACTTCTTTTCAGCCATATCCATTGAGGAGTGTGTTTCACAAATCGACGGGTAATCTGATGTACAACTGCATGTTTTGTATAAAAAAGAATATCCATTGATATTATTTGAGATTTGATGATTTTGAATGTCATACTCGTTATTTAAGCATTGTCCAGTTTGTGATTCACAAAAACAAGATCTAAAGTAATTTAACAATAAATAAATGGAAACATATTATGACATAATTGTCTTTGATAAGATTATTTGAAAGGATGGAATCACTGCGGTTCCTAGTGTGAGGTTTAAGAGACTTCCAGTTAGGCTAAATATGATTGTAATAAAGAACTTTCCAATACCACTACAGATATTTTTGGTTAATTATGCAGTCTCTGAGAAAACCAGTCCTCGCATTGACTTTAACAAGCTTGACAGAATAGCGCAGAAATCCACTGAGTTTCTTCATTGTCAGAGGGTCGTTGTTAGTTTTCAAATCACCAAAAAATACTGCAGTCAGTGTTATGGGGGTGAGGAATATGTCGAAACCAGAATTAGAAAGGCAAGATAGACAGACAGACAGAAATCGTCCTGAGATCAGTCTGAAAGTCTGCTGAACCCAACATAAAGAACGAGACTCAGATATTCAAAACCAACATTGAGTCAGTCGATGCTTCTGTATGGGTCAGAAAGTTTGCATTAGCGTCACGAAGAGCATTTAATAATAATAATAATTTGCTTTATTCCAAAACAGTACTTGTGATACAGAATGGAATTCTCAGCATTTTTACTACAGTATTGCATCCAGTTAGTACATTATCAATAAATAAAATTCTACATAGATTAAGGAAATCTCAGTTCATTATGACAACAACATATTGGCATGTTGGTAGAAAAGCCAAAGTTGAACAGTGTTTGAAGGTGTTAGAAAAGTAGGTATAGCTATCATATTTACTGGCGTAAGCGGAAGAAAGAAACAAAGCAGCACATAACGGAAAAAAAGAGAGAAAAAAGAGAAGAAAAGGAAAAGAAAGAAAACGTTGTACCTATAAATGATATGAGTTGGAAAGACGAGATCCAGTTGTTCTACTGACTATTTAATGAATTATAGATGTCACGCCTAATGCTTTCTTTATCGCACAGAACACGAGCTAAGTAGGGATTAGTTAAGTTTTTGTACTTGCTAGTGCGAGCATATAGTTTTCTATATTGGCTTCTGGTTTTACCTGATGATATGCAAGGAGAGAGTTGTGAATGAAGAGGGTGGTGTGAGTTAGATAAAATGGATTTAGCCCATTTTTCACAGGAGTCCATGTGCCTGTCAACCAGAATATTAACAAGCTGGTTAAGTGGCACGTTGCTTACTCTGCTGACAACCTTTAACATCCTGCGTAATATGTTATAGTCTTTCTTCAGTAGCCCTGGAAAAACTAAGGGGAACAATAGAGAATAATAGGCAGGATGCAAGAGTTAACGAATTGTAGGAGTAAGGGTTGGGTTATACCAGAATGTCTCAACTTCTTGATGTAGAAGGTAGGATGGAATATTTTCTTAGAAATCATCAAGATATGAGACGACCAGGCGAGATCAGCAGATAGAATGACGCCTAGGTATTTAATTTCCGACTTGGTTTCTATTTCAGTGCCATCTATGTTGCACACCTCGTGAGAGCCAACCAGTTTGTTTAGGTCGGATTTACGCCTAAAGATGGAATTGACTGTTTGACATTTAGAGGGGTTTAAGGTAAGACCGTTTTCCTTGGACCACTGGCTGATTTCTGATAGAAAGCCATTTCAGACAGGCTGTCCACGTCGCTGGCTCCACAGTGAAGATCAGACGGCCGGTTGTCCAGAAAGAATTAGTAACAAGAAGCTCTGTGGAAGAACCAATCAGCAACCTACTGGCCAACAAATATTCCGAAGAAAATGAAGGTGAATCGGACACACGTTGAGGAGGCCATTGGTTGACATCCCGAGCCAGGCCATTGGTCGAGTGGAAAGTAAATGGAAAACGACGATTTGGGACTGCGTCTAAGTGTAGCATGGAGGAGATTGTGTAAGTTAGGGGTGATGAAAGCCTCTAGGGAAATCGTGGAACCAACTAAGGAGGATTTCACAGAGCAGGACAAAATGAAGACATATTGTTGAAGCCATGTGCTCCCTCCGGAACCTAAGACAACAATAAATAGCACTAAAAAGTGGAATAAATATTCTAACATAACTATTATTCAGCTCAAATTTATAGTAGTCTCCGGAGTTTAATAGACTGCATACATGAATTCCCTTTAATGAATTTGAACGAAACAATAACAATAGATGCAGCAGGATAAAACGAACCTGTTTCACTTCTACAGCATCTCGTCGTCTGCTTACAACCTGAATAATGATTCGTATGAGTAGATGTATACCACTCATATCAACCAATAGTGCTTTCTAGCCAGTCAAATAAAGATAATCTAGACACTTGACGGCCGTTTCGTTCGTTTCGGGCATGGCTCATCAGCAGTGTGCCGTACTCGTGATTTGAATAATTTGGTTTCCAAAGAAACTATGGTGAAAACTGTACCCCTCGGAATGTGTACATTACATATTGTGAATTCGAAAGCTGATAATTCATTTTAATCTAAACATGTTTTATTTTATTTGTGAAATAATAATTAAGCATCATCATTAGTTGTCGGAGTTCGGTTTTTCATAATGACAAAAGTCATCATTAACTAGACCGATTTGAATATATTTTTTTGTACAATACAACAGATTTGTTGTGTTAGTCTATTTTACTTTATTGATAAAATGTGTATGTATACATCAACTTTTTTTAAATGAATAATGTGGTGTTTAGCGGTGAAAATAAATGCAATCGTGAGGTGTTTTCGCGCAAAGTATAGCAAAAACTCCACAACAGATATTCCAGCTGTGTAATTAAGTCGATAAAATACCTTTAAAACAACCTAAAGTAATATTCGATATGATTACGGCATCTATTTATGCATATAATACAAATTTTCTATAGTTTGGTTTGTAAGGGTTAGTTATGTTTTTACGAGTTGATCACGGACTGATATCAGTTAAAGAACCATTGAAAACCATGGAGTACTGGACAGCTGCTGTTTCATCCTAGTTTGGAAATCATCGGCAGTACGCACCCACTGGGATTCGAACCCAGGACCTTCCGGTTACAAGGCAAGCTGGCTCGTATACCATTCAGCCACTGGGACCCGATTCAATGGCTCATGAATTCTAACTTCTACCAAATCGTGATTTAGCGCGACCCCAACTATTATCGTTGGTGGGACATCCATCCACACACATGACATCTAATTGGAGCTCACTGGTCATGACTTCTCACTAGAACTCCAGGAAGCTCCATCCTGTAGCAAGTCACTAGCGAGCATCAGATTAATTTTCTATAGTTTGGTTTGTAAGGGTTAGTTATGTGAGGTCTAATTAGATGTCACGTGTGTGGATGGATGTCCCACCAACGACAGTGGTTGGAGTCGCGCTAAATCACGAATTGGTAGAAGTTAGAATTCATGAGCCATTGAGTCGGGTCCCAGTGGCTGAATGGCATACGAGCCAGCTTGCCTTGTAACCGGAAGGTCTTGGGTTCGAATCCCAGTGGGTGCGTACTGGCGATGATTCCCAAACTAGGATGAAACAGCAGCTGTCCAGTACTCCATGGTTTTCAATGGTTCTCTAACTGATATCAGTCCGTGATCAACTCGTAAAACATAATACAAAATCAAATATAAGAGCAACTACCTGAGAAAATTCAAGGTCGTAATCAACCGCCTCCATGCTACCTATTCACGTAGACGGAGGTAAATTTGTTGCAGTATAACTTATATACTCACTCAGTGTTTTAGTTGTTAACAAATATTTTTCACTATTCACTGTTAGGAAGTGATAAGAAAACTTTAGAAGATCGATATCTCACAGATGATTTATATCTAATGTCACAAAAATTCGAAGACTTACAGACGAAAAACCAACTAACTGGCCGAAGAGGTAGGCAGCAAAAACACGATTTCAAGTGAACAAAGAGGAGATGGAGGTGATGAAAAAAAATTAACCAATCAACAACGACAACAAGCATTAATCATCACTATCGACGGAAGATGTTTGAAAGAGGCCAACACACACATATGAAGATGTCAAAACCAGCCAGGATCGGAAAGGCAAGTCAGACATCCATCATCCTGAAATCATTTTGGAAATCTACCACACTCAGTCAGCACAAAAAACGAAATCCGGATTTTCAACACCAATGTTAAGTCAGTCAGTTCCTCTATACGGGTCAGATACCTGGCACATGCGTCACGAAACTGAAGATTAGATGGCTGGTTGGCCAGAAAGAATTATCAACCAGAAATTTCGAGAACGAATTAATCAAAAATTTATTGATAGAAAGTGAAGGTGGATCGGATATACACAGACGAGACAGTCGGATGATATGGCAAGCCAGACAGGCCATCACTCGAGTGGGACTCTAATGGGGAACGAAGAGTTGGGTGTTTGTCTGAGTGTGACATGGAGAAAGCCTTTGGGCAGACACGGGGCTAACTAAAGGGAACTGAAGAGGACAGGGTGAAATGGAGATGTGCTGTTTCCACTCGGAACACAAGGGAATAATGTTAAGAAGTGTAAACTACTAGAACTCCACTGTACTGTAAAAGATGCCTTTAATTACTTCATTTTTCCAAACCCTGTGTGTTTAGATCACCTTATAAGATAAGATCAGTTATCTCGTATATTCTTCCCTTGAAATAATGCTACAAATAAAGATCTAGAATTGTAAAGTTATCGGTGAAATTCATTTGCTTCTGCCTTACAACATCTAACTTGTAGGTTCAAGATTCTACTGACTAATCCACGGAATATATGTCACTTTCATTTTATTCACGTGAACTATTATTATCTCTTTATCATATTACATAACTGCTGATTCACTGATTGTATATCCTATTTTATACTCATTGAAAAGTCAAGTGACTTCAAATTTCTTTCATACGCTGTTATGATTAATAACCTGATGACGTAATCACTCGCTGTTACACAACTAATAAAACTTGTTAGGGTTAAAAGAAATCATATTTATATATTACACTGTTTTCAGTAATGAGATCATGTCATTTTGAAATATGAAATGTGTTCATTATGCAGTTTAAATTCTAGCTGACAGATCTCATATTTGAGACTCTAATAA